TATATAAATTCCGAAAACCCGTTTCTACTTGAATTAAATTCAAAAGGAGATGCGAATATGTTTCTTAAGTTTTAACTTTAATTTGTTAAGCGTGTGCGTTTCAGGCGAGTGCGAAAAAAATTCGCCAGTTTACTTGCGTTGCGATAAATGTTTAAGCGAAAAATGAAAATAATGAACAGCGACAAATTATGAAAATAAATACATACTATAAAGATGTACATATGCAGATTGAACTTGCTCGTGTGTAACAATTGACTTGCCTTTGAACTCTGGGCAAATATTGTTTGTTTCATGAATGAAACGTAGATTCCAAGCTGAGATATCGGCTTGTGGTAACTGGTATTTTGCATTAGAAATAAACATACATACGTGTATTTATATGGAAACAAGCCCAGTTTTAACATTTAGCCGCATATAACAAATAAATCAAATTTTTGCGGGCTTCCAAAGATATGTTAACCGCCAGYGCATTGTGAATCCCAGTTGAATTTTGATATAAAATGAATTTCAGTAAAAGATATATACATAAATACATTTACTTAAAGAAGACTAACAATAAAACTCCCCATGTACCATATAATGTAGTGGTTTTCGTTACAAGATAGCAAGTGATCTCTGCTAATGTACCTATGACAGCTAAATGATATTCGGCGTAAAAAATCAGACAAAAACAGGAGAGAATTTTGCCTGTTATTTTGTTAAGAACTTACCTGTTATGGTCGAAAGTTTATAATATTTCATAAGAATTCAATACTCACTATTTGACGAAACCGCAAATGGATGGAAACGGGAAAGTGGGAAGTCTTTTTGGGGTAAATGGGGCTAGTGAGAATATTATTAGCAGATATATTTACCTCCCTGAGTTTCATTATGGGGCTACATGGGTTTCCTCGGGTAAAATACAGTCAAATTTCAATATTTTTTTTCTCATATAAAACATTAAGTATTTTATTTCCATTTTTTATTGCTAGAAACATACACTATTAACAAAGAATTTCTGAAAAAATATTTAAACCCCTCGAAAAAAAATGCGTCCGCATGGGAAGGATAACTCCTCACAGGATCATCTGAAGTGACAAAATACGTGTTTTGGTTCAGATCTCAACTTAGAACTTGAACGAAGAAAGAAAACTGAGAATTGTATTTTTGGCAGACATTTTTRCAAAAATATGAAAATGTCAGTGAAAATTGTTCGACATTTCTTTTTTTCAAATATTTGTAATCGAAAAACAATCCTTCGTCCAAGTCCTTAAATATTGTATCTCAAAGATCTGTGTAAAATTTCATGAWGATCGATTGAGTAGTTCTTGAGAAATCTTGCCAACCGACTTCAAAAACAAAGTTTCTAGAGTAACGAGTTTTAAGACTGTGCACTAAGCCTAGCTAGCCTCGAGCGCATAAGGAACTTAGAAACAATATTCTAGAGGTGTAGTATAATGTAATACAATAATTYGATTTTTGGAAACCCGTAAGCCCATGAAACCCCTTCATATAACACAATTATGCACGTATACCATACATACTGTACTGTACTGTACTGTAAGTACTGACACGATTTTACCCACTTTTAACACAAGGGTACTTTATTGGGCGGAAATATCACTGAATTTTCTGTAAAACTTAAAAAAGGAAATATCTTGCCCTCGAATATAGTTAGAGCACTTTGTAAGCTTTATAGAATTACGRATGAAATTTCGACGGACATATGAGAAATATTTCTTACTTAATAAAACCGTACTGATAYCTTCAAATTTATTACTTTCAGATACATATCTGTTGCGATGACAATCTCACGCCTCCAACCCAGCCTACGCCAACAAATGGCGACGGCTCCACAAACAATGCTGGGTCAATGGATCCAGYAGGCTTAAATAAATTGCGTGAACAAAAATGTGGCAACGCGGGCGGTGAGCGGGTATCTCACGGCGAAGATGTCGATCTGTATGAATTCCCGTGGATGGCGCTTCTGATTTATGACTCCCCTCAGGACCCGTACAAATGTGGTGGATCATTAATAACAGATAACTTCGTTTTGACTGCTGCGCATTGCATGGTGGGCGTGCCAGGTAGAATGTAAGTTGAATACACCATCATTTTATGAATATATGTATATAATATATTGTCGTCTCTTCTCAGAATTGGTGTTCGTTTGGGAGAGCATGATTTATCAAAAGCTGAGGACTGCATTGTAGTGAAATCACGGCGACTTTGCGCGCCGCCAGTGGAAGATGTCGGTGTTGAAAGGACAATTCCCCATCCGGAGTTCAACAATGCACGCAAAACCAATGATGTCGCTTTGGTCAAACTGAACCGTTCGGTGCAATTTCAAAGTAAGTTAATTACAAACATTATCTCTTGAGAACGTAAACACAATTKAAATATTTTCCATCTACAGGACACATCAAACCCATTTGCTTGCCCATMATWCCCGAAGCMGCGGAAATACCTTTGGATAAACGYTTTTTCATAGCGGGTTGGGGTGGCACAGAGAACASCAGGACGTCCAACATCATGCAAAAGGCTTTGGTGCCGTTTAGAACTCGCAGCGAATGCCARAACATCTTTCGACGAACGCCCATCAATGAAAATCATCTCTGCGCCGGTGGCGATGGACGCATCGACACTTGCAAAGGTGACTCTGGCGGGCCACTCTTTTATTTAGCGCCGTATAGCGGACCGCTGAAATCCCTACGCTATGTCCAATACGGCATTGTATCCTTCGGTGGCACGGAGTGTGGCGGCGACAGAAACTCCCCGGGTATTTATGCAAATGTGGCACACTTTTTGCCGTGGATAACCAGAAATATTGCTCAACATTAATATTAGTTGCGCATATGTTTAGACTTGTATTATCTTCAGAAAGCAATACTTTTTAGCCATATTTTTCATTCTAATTTATATAATACCTATTTATATATTATACTTTGTGTGAATATAAAAACTTAATGAGATTAGGTTACATAAAAATGAAGTGCCTTAAAATTAGCTCCACGTTGGAGCTACAAAAAAATAAACAAGACTTAGTTTTTCGATAAATTAAACAATACACTCGTTTTAATTTTTTAAAGCCACCTAAATATATTACACCATATGTGGAAAATATTGGGTAGTCGAAAACATCTTTTSGTATTTCGTTTTTGGAAGAATGCCAAGGACGCCACCAATGAAATTAATGGCGTTTATGGAGACGATGCTGTTTCAGTTCGTGTAGCAAACAATGGTTCGCTCGCTTCCATTCTGGAAATTTCAATGTGAAAGATGCACCTCGAAAAAGTCGATGAYATTATGGAARAGATTKRCTAGGACCGGCACAKAAGCAGCCATAACATCGTCATTAAACGGTTTCGAACCATTTAAAAAGGGCTGGCTACAAAACAAAGCTCAATGTTGGGTACCACATTAACTGTCTGTGAAACCGAACCATTTCTGAAGTGAATGGTAACAGGAGAAGAAATGTGGATCAAATACGACAATAATGTGCGAAAAGATCATCGTCCAAGCGTTATGAAGATCAACAAATGGTCGCAAAGGCAGTATTGACGCCTCGAAAGGTTATGCTGAGTGTTTGGTGCAATTAGAAAGGAATCATCCATTATGAGCTGCTCCCGCCTGATCAAACTATTAATTCCACATTTTACTGTCAACAACTGATGAGATGGAAGCAACCACTCGAAAAAAACGACCAGAACTGATCAACAGAAAGGGCTTCGTCTTCCATCCGAACAACGCTAGATCACACACATCTTTGATGACTTAGCAAAAACTGGGAGAGYTTGGCTGGRAAGTTTCGATGYATCCACCATATAGTYCTGACCTTGCACCATCGGATTACCATTTGTTTCWGTCAATGCAGAACTCCCTTAATGKAGTAAAGTCGACTTCAAGAGAAGCCTGTGAAAATAACATGTCGCAGTTTTTCGCCCAGAAACCAGAAAACTTTTACACTGAYGGAATAATGTMTCTTGCRGAAAAATGGTCGACTAAAATGATACATATTTGATTCATTAAAATTTACYATAAATATAAAACAATAACCTGAAGTTTGATTAGAAATACGAAAAGGCTTTGTCGACTAACAATACTTCCGATTTCGAATGTAATTACATATAAATCGACCGCAGCACCGAACACGTGATAAAACTTACGTCTTTTTTAGTTTTGCTCTAAASGACAATGAGAAAACAGCGCCCGAAAGCAATAAATAAATTAACAATTCACGCCGTTGGATTTTTTAAAACTTGAAAAGATAAAACATTCTGCTTCTTATTAAAACCAAAGGCAAYAAATTCTATACTTCACATTGCGAATCTCAAATTGTTACAACAGCAGTCGGGTCTACGTAATCGGCAGGGACTTTAGCGCCTACCAAATCTGGTATTCTTTTCTTACGTATTCAAATTTGGTARCCTTGTTGTTGTATCGATTTCGATTTGTCATTTATTGGTCTGTATTTTCTCATCTCTCCTCTGAACTTAAATGCTTTTTTAACTTTCTGACCACGATTAAATATGTATACTAGCCTAATTGTGGTAGTATTTTTCTAATTGTAATATCCTTGATTGGTTTCGGGGAATATTCTAAAGCCACTGGAACACAAACACATTTTCGACCTAAAAAGTCGCTTTTAACACACAACAATAACATAAAGTGCGTCCATAAATCAGTTCACTCCTGGATCGTTATCAAACACTTTCAATCATAACCGAACAAAAGATGACGAACAAACAAAAGGATATGAAAACAAAGCCTTTTATATGAATGAAATACTAAATGATGACATATTTGTCAATTTACGGTTACACATACTATATATATATATATATATATATATGGAAATATATATTCATAAAAGCAGCACGAAATGTTTTAGGCATATTTGAATTGTGTCATACACACGGAGCCCTACTGGCAGTTACTACAATGGATAATGGCGACTTCGCTGCGTTTAATTCTAAAATTGTGTGTAAAATTATGAAAAATATTTATCATAATAATAATAAAAAGGCATATAATATGATTTAATTTTAATTCCGCAGTTCATTTCTACTGCTGTCTTCTTACTACACCCTGCCGTTTCTGGTGAAACTCTGCGTGGGCCTTCTTAATAATTTTTTCGCCTCATCGGTATCCTTCAATATGGATACACTTTTGTAAGTATACATTTATATTGTATCAATTTTTATGAACACACACACACACACACTACTTTTCAAAGCATCAACTGGAACACCTCCTTTCCGGCCATAACCGTTTGTGAGATCTACAATGGCGAGAAAATTTGGGACAKGAGCGAGCAATATTTCGGCACGAATCACGATCTGCAATTGGACGATTTAGTCGGTGAAGTGGTCTTTTTCCGTGGCACCTGCACCATATGCGATAGATGTGATCATTTGAACTGCCCACAGAATATCACCGAGCTCTTGACACGGGTGCGTATGAGTAACAATTTACTTCGCATAAATATTAACCTGACTTGACTTTTRCTGTAGTTTCGCGGTAAATGCGCACAGTTGTTGCTCAATTGTAAATACATAAACAAACCCTTCAATTGTTGCGACGAATTTCTGCCAATTCACACCGAATATGGCATTTGCTTTGCGTTTAACTCGAATCAGGCACGGTAAGTGAACATTATATCGTACATATGTATGTACATATAAGCGTTGTTCGATTCCCCAGGTGTTGAAGAGCAGCGAATCACATAAGCAACCGTATAACTTATACACTGCGACAATGTGAATAAATGGATAATTTTGTAGTTGCTTTCATCTTTAATATTTTCGTTGCGAAATTAGACGTTGGCTAGAACGAATGTCAAGCTGTGAGTGCTGAGCTCACTTATGTACATATGTATGTGATGAATAACATTTGGTTGAATGATCGCTGCTTATATATTATATTATAATAAGTATGTTATTTGCAATGACTAATATTTGATTGAATGATCGCTACTTATTTATATTGTTTACTTATGAAATTTCGGTTAGCAAATTTAAAGCACTAAGTTTTCGCATACATTTTACATTACGAGTTCTTCATATTATATATGTGCATATGTACATACACACATATGTATGTATGTATGTATATTTTTTCATTTTTTTCCATTGCAGTAAGAGCGCACAGATGCATTTCGCCAGTAGTCGTGAAACCGGTCCTGGCATATTGAAGTTTGACGCCTCTGCGGACATTCAGCTCCATATACATCCGCCCATCGACATTCCACTTCCCTACTTTGAGAGTACGATTCGTGAAACTGTGTTGCTTGGCAGCACCAAAGAGATCGTCATCAATGTCATGGAGGTGTATAACCATCCCAGCGTGTATCAACTCACCCTGGATCAGCGTCGATGCCGCTTCAGCAACGAACCTACAGATTGGGGTCTTGAAGTGGGTCTCTATGAGTTCTATAGCCATTCCACTTGTATTGTAGARTGCGGTCTGAAAGCGCAGCTGGATCATTGCAATTGCASCAGCCATTTTTTAGCACCCGCAATSAAAGGTAAGCCAAATATCAGGCTTAATGAATATTCTATGTGCTTACCACTCATATTACAGCGCAARGTGGATCTGTGCCCATGTGCGATTATCGCGGCTTGAGTTGTCTCACAAAGTATTACGAAGACATACAACTGGAGCGTAAATCGTGTGATTGTATGAGTTCATGCGAAGAACCTGAATACACTATCGTTTACAGTTCTCCGGATGTGTGAGTATCACACTTACATAAATATGAATACAACAACAACTTAATAGCGAAGTAATTCAATATATGTTTCTTTAAGTGAAAGTAGCGACAGTGAAAGTAGCATGGAGGTGACACAGGTGCATATCGCACTTATTGATCTACCAACACAGCGTTATATTCGACGGGTCACCAAGACACCACTGGACTTGTTAAGTGAGTACATAAAAAAAGTATATCGTATACAGGAATTTATAAAATATGCAGAAATATTTGTATATTAAATTTATGTTTTATTTCCTAGTTTTAATTGGTGGCATTGCTGGGCTTTTCTTTAACGCCTCAATTGTGCGACTCATTGAAGTAATATTCTTAATCAAAGAGTACAACTGGAATAGTTTATGGGGCAGGAAAAAATAGGAGTGCATTTATGCATAAAAAAATTTTACAGCAATATTCTAATTAAATGTTTTTTCTTTAAGTAATGGCTTATTTAACAACAATATTTATTTTAGAAGTTTTAAGAAAATGCAAATTAATTTTCTTTCACAAACAAGTAGGTGCATAAAAAGGTATACACAAAACTACCATAATTCTATGTGTACGGATTAATATCCTCAAGGGGCACACCTTGTGAGAMRTGCTACAAAAATTTWAAAATTTCTTCTGGCTAATMGCTGCAGCAAATTTGTGCTGTTWYGAGACAAACGCGTTCAAAAATAAGCTGATGGAGCTGTTGAACTGAGCGTTTRTATTTTCGAAGATTGAAACACTATTTGAGTTATAGATTTGCGTCAGCATGTTATTTATAAAAGTGTAAGTCATGTAATATATAAAATTGATTTTTTAATTTCACACAAAGTGTGCCTCGTAACGTAAGAAAATTAAATTGTTATAAATTCACCACATAATACATCTTAAGTATATTTATTTTATTGAGCTTTAATTTATGGCTTCTATATAATTGATTGATTACAACCTTTCTGAGATTGGTTTCACACACAATCCTGTTCGAATATTTTTGAATGCATATGTATATAGTCTTTAAACATTTTATTACAAGGATGAATAATTAAAACTGTGTGTATACGAATTAAATTTTCGGAAATCATTTTAACACTAAATGCGCATTTATTACAAATATTTCATCTAAAACACCACATTATTAAGTATCACTTTACACACGTTAACATTTTTGAAATTCATTGAGTTCCACATAGTCTGTCGATTTTCACCTTAATGTTATGTCTACTATAAGTATCAAACTAAACAGCATAGTTCATCGAATTAAAATGTAAATTGTAAATTATCAATGCTGTTAATAACATTTTGGCCTAATTAGCGAATTTACACTTAACAAATACAYATTGTGCGTTTTTATTTCGGTCATGTCCCATTCTCTCCTAACTCATACTCATTTTTTGTGTTTGCAATATGGGTGTATACGATGCTGAGCCTTCTTTTTGTGGTAACGGAGACACAAATTGTAGGAATGTTTCAAAATATGATGGCAAATACACGAAGCTGGAGAAAATCACTAAACCAAGCGTGAGTATTACAAAACTGTCTGAAATGAGAAGAAAGAAAATTGATTTTATGAGTGGTTGAAGTCTTTGTAGGTATATTTTTGAATGTTGCTATATAAATAATTGTAGAGATTTGCTCAGTGACCTTTGGGCTGGTGGACCCTCACATACTTAACCGACGTGGCTTACATTACTTCGACCTYTTTTCTCTCCAGTGTTAGAAACCAAATTCCGCAAACAATCACCTTTCTGCTGACTAAATCCCACAACTTTCTTTAATTATGTCGATCACCTTGGCTAATGTAATGTTTAAACTTGGAGCAGTACAAAAAATCTACACTCTCACTACACTTCAGATATATGATTCATCAAATATTTCATTACTAATCTGTTTCTTTTCATTCACAAATGCTGTAGGTACTCGTTTTACCTACATTTTTTTTTATCAGAAATCTGTCTTTCTTTTCTAAACAAAGCACTTTAAGAATGATTTAAGTAGGGGGAACCATTTAGATAACTCTTATTATGTCTTGTATTTGATTCCGCTTAGTATTTTTGTTCCTTCCTTTTGTAATACTATTTTATTTGTAATTTATAACTAATAATCACCAAAACTACTTACTTATTAGCTTCTTTTCCCATGGTTCAAACATATAAATGCAAGTAACCAATTCGTATTGTATATAAAGACTCAATAATATGTTTTTGAAGAACTTCAGCATTTCTACAACTTTGCTCAATATTTGTTCCAACATTCAAGTTGACTAAATGGGTTGATTCCTGCGGTGGTCACCTTCTCTTTTTAATTTGTATAAAAACGATATATTTTCCAGCAATCTTTGGTGTAGTTGATACTTTATTATTTACTTTTTTTCGGCTCAAAGATTTATCAAGCAAATTTGCTTTAACATTCAGCTGACGTAAAATGTTGTTATCAGCTGTGGAGTTGCCACATAACCCAATGATTTTTAATGCATCTTAAGTTGAGAAATTACAGAGAAATAGCAGGGACAAGGAGTATATTGAAGTTATTAAGGTAAATAATTTATTTTTTGTTTTGAGGAAATTTTTGGAATATTTGAATATCTTTTTAGGTGTTAGAATAATTATTGCTTGAAATAAAAACTGCTTTATAAATTATTGAATTATCATATAAATTATTTTTGTTTTTATTATTCCGAATTATTAATTAAACCTTTTGTTCATACATGAAAATGTTTGAGGTTTTATTGTTATGCCGCTACAAAATCGTCCATCATAAAATAATTAACCCTGGTTCGTCATCCACCGTGAGAACGGCGATGCGCCATTTGAAATTCGTTTTTTCATGTTTTTCCTATTTGTTTTGTTCTGATTTTTCGTAATAAGAGTGACGTTCCAGGMTTAATGAAATACAGAATATTTTTATTTTACTTTATTCATTGCTTTTTACAAATTTATTTATAAAAGTAATAAAAGTTCTACAGTACAAAATGGAAGAAATTATTCAAAAATAATTACTTATGCCAAAAACATCATTTACAAAAACGAATGTATAATCAATATAAATAATGGCTAACTAAAACTTATAACTACTAATTAAATATTTTATTGCAGCCTAGTTGAGAAACAATATATAACTAACAAACCTAACTAAATATGGAAGCATGAAAAAACTTAAACAAAATCAAATGAAAATATTTTTAAATGTTAGAAATTATTAAAATGTATGTGGKAATTTTTAAGTTCGTGCTAAATATTTTAGTCCTGATTTAACTATATTTTTTATAAGCACTAATATTTACACATTGTTATTTCAGTAAGTTTAATTATATTTACAACCAACTTAACATAAATAGTTTTTTCTGTTAAAAATCTTTATATTTCCTAAATTATAGCTTAATGCAAACGTCATTTATAGGTTAGAATTACAGAATTATCTATTCATTTGTTATTTGTAATTATATTATTCTTAATATCACACACTGTAGGATTTTCAAACTCAACATTATATGCACTAAACTAACGGCTTATTATAAATATTGATCTTTTTCCAATAACACTACACTTTTGTTTACTTCTAAGCTTAAGTTGTGATTTAATTTAATTATACTACTTATAACTTCAACTATTGCATATTGCTASTTTCGAGTCAAATATTCATTTGCATAAAAATGTTTCAAAACAGTCGTAGTTCGTAAACAATTTATTAAGTAATCTTTCGGTCGCATGTTGACGATTTTACTGTTACTACCAGCAGAGCTTAGCCAGCTTAAGGACATCCTCTCTAACTGCCTTTGTTGACGTTGCCCCTATCGCCTGACACCTGACGGCTGACGCATAACCATTTCCATGGTTGTCATATTTCGTTGGGCTCCAGAAGTTGGTATATATTTATTTAAACCTACAGTTTGCWAGTTAATTCGGTAGATATTCTGAGATCATTGGCTCATATGCACGATGGCGCCTCTACGGCCACTTCKATCATGTACTACACCACCACGGTGAGCACGTCCGATTCTTCGTTGGCGGGCGGTGGCATTGATTTACAATTGATTGATCTCTTGCCGAAATCTTTTCGCGGACTGTCTAGCGAACCGACGGTGTTCTTCTTCATATCCGAATTGGGTGTTTTATGCAGCAAGATTTGCGAATTGCGCTTTTGAACGTGTGCGTGGTGAAGTTCAGTCTTGCTTGTCRCGTTGGTTCTGCTGCCGGTCGCACTCACTTCGAGCTCGCAGTCGAAATTTGATTCYCCACAATTGGCCGGATAAAGTGGCTGTGAGCGATGCAGCGCTGAGGTGGAAGCRGCTACGAGCGATGATACTGTCGCTAGTTCTGGTGATGGGTTGAGGCTAAGTTCCATGCCATTGGTGCGCCCTAGAGAACTGGTCGAACCTTTGAGCGGATTTGTGTAGCGACGCAGATTTTCTTCATTTTGTAGATTGTTCGATTTCTCCTCTTCGTGACGCGAGACATCCATTGAAGGTGTAAGATTTATGCCCGAAGTGGAGCGCGGATGTAACCGTTGACGCCACATGAGTGTTATAAATACGGCACAACCTATTAGCACGATGAARATACCGCAAAGAATGCCAATTAGCAGGCTGCTGTGATTACCTTCCGCCACGAGTGCGGTTTCTACTTTGACCTCTAGTATGGAGACCAAAGGCGCGAATTTAGCATTCCGCAACTCTTTGCGGCGTTGCAAACTGTTAATCTGACGGGAGGAGAGCAGTTCGCCGAGTAGGCCGACTGTTATAGGCAATTGCGGATCTGCTAACATGGTTGATGACTAAAGAGTAAAAATAATTATGAAGTTAGATTGCTGAAGTATTGCCATAACATCACTTAAGCCTGGTACTTACCACAGTCATTTCGATGGTGTCATTTGTGCCCATTTTCAGATCGCAAATTATAATTAGCATGGCGTCATTGTTGTCGAGTGGCGATTTCACCAGTTTTGAAGCCAGTAGAAAGCGTATCACGGAACAAAGTCCCTCAACGGAAGACCCCTCGCCAACTTGTTGCAAATCCAGCAGTATAGTAAGGCGTGCGCAGTTCTCATTCAATACCGCTTGGTTTGGCCAGCACTCCGGCTTGGCGGGCAGGCGAGGCGGAGCTACACGACGCGATGGCTCTAACGCCCGACAGTCACCACGAACAGCACAGGGCGGCGATAGGCACGCCTCGTTTACTGTTGGTACACACACTTCGTGCTGTTTGCATACGCCGGACAAATTTGAAGATTTCGTAGCAGCATCCACTTTGAAGCAATTCGGTAAGCCGCACCAGAGATTCGTGCAACGCGATGTGCCATTCTCGCAGATACAGGCATTGCAGTACTCGTCGGTACTGCCAGAGAGCGCAAGTTCCAGCCAGTCGCCTTGGCTCTGATTCAAAGCATGATAGGGTGAGAGCGTATTKGTAGAGTTTACGCAAGCGGACTTAGGATCAGAAAGCACTGGAATGAAAAAACAAATGTTTTTGATACTCTCCGTTTCCATTTACAACAGCTTTTCACCTACATATCTCACAACGCAATCCATGTCGACCCGGTGGGCAAATACAAGTAAAGCCACCAATACCTGTCTCTTATACACATCTAGATGTGTATAAGAGACATCACCTACATATCTCACAACGCAATCCATGTCGACCCGGTGGGCAAATACAAGTAAAGCCACCAATACCGTCAATACAAGTSGCGCCGCCCAAACAAGGCTGTGGCGAACACTCATTCACATTAATRCGACAATCCGGTCCGGAAAAGCCCTGYGCACACAAACAGCGGAACCAACCGGTGCCCGACTCGCAAGTACCGCCATTGTGACACGGTTGACCGCTACATTGGTCGATGGGCTCATCGCAGAAAACGCCATGCCAGCCAGGCGTACAACGGCAGTGTGACTGCGGGCCCTTCTCGGTGGAACTAGGTAGACAAGTCCCACCATTTTGACACTGACCGCCATAGCACTCATTGGCACGTTCCGAGCAACGTTTTCCTGTAATGAAGAAGTAAAATAAATGAGATCAGTTGACGATAAACAACTGTAATTTTGGAGTATTCAGTTCGGCTGGCCCAAACTATGTTAAGTTATAGTTTCTATTCTGAACCTTAAAACCTGTTAACGYGGTAATAATCGAATTTGCGGTGGGAAATACCGAATTTGATCAGCTTATTGGTCATAAGTTAGCAAGTTAGCTCGTTAAAATTGTTGCCACTCGAAACATGATCCGTTGTGAGGCCAAATTATTTCAAATATATTTRCATGCTTAAGTATTGACAGTTAATTGCCGTCTGCAAATAGTCCGACTTAAATGCACGACATCTAGTAGCCATTTATAGTGGCGAGTCCTTGCTCTYCGCCTCCTTGATCAATATATAATGCATAAATTATTTTGCAGCCAGTGTAAATTTACCTTGTTCGCAGGCAATGGAACAAATTCTTTAAATTATTTCTCAGGGCTATAGCCTAACTAACTTTTCGACACCATCGCACTTTGTATGCACGTAAGTTGACCAGTGGCCAGCTCATTTGGTGCCATCTCAATTGGCATACACTTGTAGGTACAGAACATTTGCAAACACCGCATCGAMCGAATGTACGAACATGCACGCATGCGCCGTAGTCCGTCGCGATATGCATGTGTATCAGCGCTACAAATCGGCGTACAAGAAACGAAATGCAATTTATTACTTCACTGTCACATCCTGCCACCGCCGCTACTGCTTGCTGCCGCTTGCGCTTGCTGCAACTAAGGATGCGCTTTTGTTGGCTGTAAACTGTCGAGAGTTGGAGGTAAGCGGCCGCCAATGCCGCCAATGCCGCCAACACCAAACAGCAGCAGCAGGCAATGCGGCGCATCGAACACGAAACGGCAATTGGAAACGCGATCTTTGCGTTTCGTATTAATTCGCTTTCAAGTTTAACACAGCCAAACAAGACAACGGATTTGTAAGTGAGCGCATGCGCTCCCAAGCCGCTGAGATGCGGAGCAGGCGAGTGGAGTTAGTGCGGGCGAAGCAGCAGCAAGCGAACGCGCATTGCTCTAAGGACGGACAGTTGCCATCGTGCACACGCACACACACATGCACTGACTGAGAGACAAAACGATATGAGGTTAAATGAATCCGGCGGCGAATGATCCCACCATCAGATAAAAACACTTCACACACGATTAGGAAATTTTAATTAAAATATTTTGTATTTCTGTATTTCTTCGGATTTTTTTTGTTTTGTTTTTATTCGCTTGGCTGGATTTGTGCATGGTGAGGACTTTAGTCGAAAATCGTATACCGATCGGCGCAATCTTAAGCATATGTGCATGTGTCGTAGTGTGTGTATCGACAACAGCGTCTGCTGAAGGTGCAAATGCAAGTGGCTGGCATGGAAAGGGTCTCTAGGAAATTAGGTTGGAGTTTGGCGCACGCAACATTGTTTGCTGTATGAATTTAAMTTCTCGTTTTGATTTTTTTTTAAACTCGATTGGTATTAACAAGTAACTGACTTTTCAGTATAACGGAACTGTAACACTCAAAAAGTGTAAAAGCCAAAAAAAGTGCGAATTGTGAATGGCTCCTAATGATAAAATCCCTAAATGGAATATTAGCCACGTGTGGGTTTTACAAATTGATTATATAAAAGTTCATACTAGCTAGGTAGGGTCTTTCATGCAAAAAAAAAAAAAAAAAAACAACTCCAAAGATGGAAGTCAAGCCGATTTATTCAGATACATCAAAGCCATATCCTTAATGGCTAACCGTATTTTTTTTTTTTCGTTTTTACAACAGTGCAATTTTTCTAGAATTTGAATAAATTGAAATCTCTTCCCTTTGGCTGAGTATTCTGTTATATCAAGATAAGGCGAGTCGTCCATCCATCTCATTTAACAATGCTAACTTCGCAAAAGTTGTTGAAATAATGCTTGAACATCATAGTGTTGACATCAAAGAGAGAAATGAGTTTGTTAACGTCTCTTATGGCTAAGTCAACTCATTTAAGTTAATGTTTTCGGTAGAAATCATGTTATCCGTAGACTTGTACCCAATAGTCCAGTCATTTAAGCTTAAATTAGGTAAGAATACTTACAGACTTACWGCTGGATATCTCGAAYTCYGAGGTGAACTTACTATAATGACTGGACTACAAAGACGTAAATCTTTGCCAAAACCGACGACGAATAGAGGCGCAAAAGAGACACATCATTACTTGACGCGTCTTTGGCTTATAAATATGACGTCGTAATTGTCAAACCATCTGACGAATGGGGTGAAATGGGCCAAACTGAAAAAATCAAAGTTCGCTGAGGACACCGAAGGCAATCCCAGCGAAAGCTTATAAGAGTGTGTGGGAAATTGGGGCACGATAGTCCATAAAATCCGTAGGAAAGCAGAACTCCAATGTTCGAACTTACAAATTAGCAAAATGCATAGGAGCCAATAMAAATTTGCCCAGGCGTTTAGTTTCCACTTCCAAGAGTTCGGTGGGATGTCTGAAGGTATGCGCTCCCAAGTGTTTGAACCTTGACCTACCAACAGCCGACAACCGACAGCCAAGAAGGAAGTTTTCAGTTGCTTCTACYTGATCTTCTTCCATACAACTTCTGCAGATGGTGTTAGGTAAGATTCCCAGCCTTACTGTATRAACGCCAATAAAACAATTTGCCAAGCTTCTGCGAAGCCCAGCTATCAAGTAGTAAAACACAAGAGAGCACAGACACGGTCCCATTCTACCGACAGCCGTTCTAGGATATTTTCCTTGCTAGCTCATCAGCTTTCCAATTAACTGCGGTTTTGTCTTATCCCAAAGTAAACCCATCCGTAAAGAAACTCACTGTCCCTCTCTCTAACGGCTTCTTCCCACCCACATCCATAACACTTTCATCCGTTTATGGGCAGAGAACGAACCGCCAGAGTGCGGTTTGGCAATTCCATGATCCAGTGATCTGGCATGMAGTTAAAGTGTGYGAGAATATCCGAGTATTCAGATACGTGTTCTTTTAAGAAGCAAAATTCTTTGAGTCTGACATCAACTTTTGCAGCCATACACCTTCCGGCGAWGTCTACGGGCACTATGTGCAAAATGGCCTTGGTTGCAATAGATATCCAGTAGTCCACCACACATGAGTGATGAGTGCCGCCCGTTGAAGGCTAGTTGTTACAGCGAGTCAATCTTTTCAAAGGAAAGGGATAACAGAGTCATCATAATCCTCTACTAAACTAACTATTTTTAAAATCTTTGCTCACATCAGCACTTAGTGTCAATAATGTTTTAAAAAATATCAACTTTTATTCAATGTCATTAATAAAAAGTTTTGCACTCATACTTGGAACTGAAATGTATAACCTTTAGCCGCTCATGGCTTCAATATAMATTAGCAAACATATTAATTCAAATTATTTCCCACAACTGTTRCTAATTAATTAAGCGTGAACGCGTTGATCACTGCGCATAATCTGGATCATTTGCATAATCGATTTTAGAGCGTTCTCTGGCAAAGCTCAGTTAAAATACAGTTATTTCAAACATTCATTTATCATACTTATAGCAAAATGGCAAATTCGCTAGAGCATAACCGTCGCCTAATTATGCAAGCAATCGCGTGTGACACAAATATATTATATTATAAAGGGGACCTTTCACTTTCAATTAATCAAACCTTCGATATGCTCCAGCCAATGTTGTCGCCTAACTCTTCAAGCGCAAGTGCCGACACCCACACGAAGCGAGCGAATATGAGAAATTAATAGGTTTTTACTTCGATCGAACTGAGAGTTTAGGCGATAATTAAAAGTGAGGCATTCCTCTTACTGCGTTGGAACTCCAATGCTTTTCCATTGACTTACACTTGCCACAGACACGCCAGCGACACTTATACACAACAAACTTATACACATCTAGATGTGTATAAGAGACAGCTCCAATGCTTTTCCATTGACTTACACTTGCCACAGACACGCCAGCGACACGTATACACAACAAAACTAAAAAGTGCATTTCTCGCGAATGCCAGCTCATTAATGCCACCACTTCGAAGTAAAGTTTCAACTCTCCCTCATCTCCCCTCCMACACCGCCTACTCAACGCTGGCTTGTTTATTTGCTTACCTGTCCAACCAGAAATGCATTCACATGTGAAGTCACCGTCGCCGTCCAGGCAAATTCCACCGTTTCGACAAGGATTTGGCGAGCACTCATTTAGATCTGCAAGCAGAAAGAAGAGCAGACAAAACAAGAACATCAGTTGTRCAGCAAAAACACCTAAAAAAAGACAATAAGACACGTATGTAAACAACGAGACAAGCAAGGACACCAGACGGCACCACGTTCGTTCGAAATTAAGCGATGGAAATTGCGAAATGTAGCAAAAGAGTAAAAGCTGCGGTGYTGTTGCAAAGTATTCACGCTGGTGAGTTAATTGGGTTTGTGGCAGCAATACAGCGCTGGTGGTGGTGGCATAGCAGCGGCATTTAGTCAACATGCAACATCTTCTTCGGCGTTCGGCATTCGGCTCTCGGCAGTGACATTGCCCGTTGTTGTGCGTTGTTATCCTGTGCCACGTCAGTCGCGCCGTCGACTTTGTCAGATAGCTTGCCCCACACCAACGCCGCCTACTTTTTRCCTTCATCAGCGCTCTGCTGACTCATTTAGTGGCTTGCGTTGAGCTGGCGAAATGAATCTTGGAAATTTTAATTAACATTTTTGTGCCCCAAATACACACACAAGCATATTTGCATTTGCCTTCGCTTGCGTTTCGCGTGTTAAAAGCGCTCATTTCGGCTAAATCGCAGCACTGCCTAAAACGAAATCGCAGCATCGTGGTATTGCACATGCGTTCGCACATATGTACACATCGCTCCTCCATTTGAAAKTCTGTATCGATTTCTATAGCATATTTGCTACTCTTCTATTCATCAGTCCCTCAATGAGCCGCTGAAAATGTGTGCTGCTGCAAAGTGTTGCATCTTTYGCATGCACTGTGCTATTGCAGTCTACTGCAGTCAGCAACTCTGTTGATTTATTAACTCACGAAGGTGCAGATGCTTTCCAGCGAAGTGCTGCATTCAAATAAAGCGCTTCTCATTGTTCTAGGCCGGGCTTCCGCGCCGTCTACCGTGTTTGATTACACCTCAGCTGTCTTCGGTTTATATCCAGTTTTATTGCTTCACTAAAGTTCTGAACACATCCAGCYTTTCGTCGAATTCATTCTTCAATCAGCCAGCCAGTTAGCTCAGCGCGCGATCGCTTACATTCACAGCACACAAGCGCTTAAATGGTGGGAAAGTATTTTGTTAATGTCTCTGTTGCCGTTTTTTCTCGGACGTGCTTTTATTATGATTCAATAATGATTAATTTTATATCTGTTTGAGTTCAGCAAACTATTAGCTGTGCAGCTAATTATGGATTTACGATTTTGCGTGTAAAAATAGCAATGGCGCAAACTRCTCATAAAGWTCGCTGCTTGAGTCTTTCATTTATGCAAAASTTCTGTACAAATGTTGCCGTTTACTTTGTGCTTGTTYTTGTTGCTGTAATTGAAATCKTTCTACTTACTGTGCTCACAGAAGGTGCCCGTATAGCCCACATGGCATTTGCAGAATGTGCCCACGTCGCCGATCTCGCAAGTGCCGTGTCCGCTGCACGGCAGCGCGTTCATTGTGGCGTTGGCGAAGCAGCCCTCTGCGGGCGAAATTACAAAATTGATTAATATCGATAATTGTTGTTAATAATTTTGTATGCAAATGTTCATTTTTTTTTGTGTTTTTTGTTTTTTTTTTTTGGTATTGGCATTTTTCTTACCGTTGCAGGGCGGTTGGGAGCAGAGTGGGCGTATTTGCTCGCAATGCTTTCCCGCGCGATCGGGCGGACAGTGGCAATAGTAGCTGCCGGGTGTGTTAAGGCAACGGCCTTGCAGGCATGGCGAGGGTGTGCAGTGATCTTTGGCCTCCTGTAAGTAAGGTTGGATAATTATTGCTTTARATGTTGTAAAATGCTTATTTTTAATATATTCATTGAATACTAATTTGGGACAATTATAAGCAATCAATGTATTTTTATTAACATGTAGTTTTCTTTCATTGTTGAAAACAAGCAGAAGAGCTAAGCTCTTTTTGTAAGAAAACTTGATCATGTCTATATGTATACCAGATTCCTAATTTCAGAATTTAATTTCGTGCATTAATGAGTAATGTTCAACCGAAGGTAAAATTAAAGAGAGATAATATACATTTTTTCTCCAAATACTCGGTGAATGAAAATGAAATGCCAAATAAAGGGGTTTTCTATAGGAACTCTACAATAGTAGAGTGCAGCAAAGCTTCACCATATTTTTTCCTGCTCTTTTGACATTTCCCTTCAGTACAATTTGCTATTTCATCATGGAAAGATATACTAATCAATGACAGTTCGAAATTATTAAAATTTACTACTGAAATTCGAAATCAGTCGCTTCAACTTTAAGAGCGCTACATCCAATGTATGGTCGCCATAATCGTCCTGTCACATCAACAAAAAAACGTGTAGTGGAAAAACTTGAGTTCGAAGGCACGGTACAAAATATTYCCRTGSCAGTGASATAAAAAAGTGCCCGTGKTGTCGATAATATTGCTGCCGCTAACGCATCAATTGAGGAAGACCCAAATCAGTCGCTCATACGTCGTGCCCAAACGTTGGGAATCTCTGTCACGTTGTTGTGGAGAATTTTGCGAAAAGATCTTGCTCTACATCTTTACAAGATCCAATTTACGCAAGATATTAGTCACCACAGATCCCGAAAAAATTACGGTTTGGTGCGATTTATGGGCTGATGATMAAGACCGGCACGTTWCTGTTAATGGGAATCGCTACCGCTCAATGATAACCGAATTTCTGGCCCGTATAGCATGATATGGACTTTTACAATATGTGATTCTAACAGGACGGYGTCACAAGTYACACTGCGAATGTCACAATCGATTTATTGAAAACCCAGTTTTGTGAACGTGTTATCTCACGAAATGGCCGGCTCGGTCATGTGATTTGACGCCGTTAGGCTATTTCCTGTGAGGCAACGTCAAGTCTAGCGATGATTGATGGACTTCGTAAGACAACCGAAAGTGAAATTGCAGCGGTATCAGTCGATTTATGCTTGAAAAGCGTCGTAAATTAGGTTCAGTGTCTGGATTTCTGCAAGCGTGCCCGCGGTGGTCATGCAAAAGAAATCGAGTTCCATACATAAGGGTTTCGAATGCAGATGTATAGAAGTAAAGAATTTCATTGATATCCCAAACCCATTTTGTTTTATGATTTTTTTAGYCCTCTTATTGAAAAACCCAATTACAATATTATTTCTCATTTATGTATYTTTTGTCTTTGGTTATGCATTAAAAGTAAAGTTCTCAACAGCTTTTAAAAGGTTATATCCACTAGAAGGGTTTTTTGTTTTTACATGTAATCTCTAAAGAGGCTAAGAAAAAGGAAATTATTATCAAAAATCATGTTGCTTTGAAGTCGTATAGGCGTTTCGGAGAATTTTTTTCTACAATCTTTGGTAAAGTTTTGGCAGCCTATTACAAATAATTCCTACAAATATTCTCATATCTCCGAGACTATTTTTCGAACTAGCTTCAAATTTGGTATTCGAATATTTTAAAATATACATGAATATTAAACAAATTTTGAAATTCATAAGTGAAAATAACACACTCAGTTAAATACTTCTAAACAAGTCATGCTTTTAGATACTTTCAATTCGGCTTAAAGCAGCACCTATCTACAACTTGTGCAGTAAATATGTAAATAGTAGCTTAACTAACAAATGCTATCGATATGATGAGAAAAATCCACACAATCATCATAAAAATCAATTTATTACAAAATTTCTATAAATATTAAAGTCGAACTCGCAGTGAAATCACCTGACCTGCTATGACTAATAGCAGACCGACTCGCAAAATCGTGTTCATTCACTAATGCAACGCTCATTTAAATGCGAGAACGCCCCGCAGAAATCAGCAGCAAAACGCAAGCGCTGCGGTGCCTCATTCCTTAACTTCATTTAGGCCGCTTTAACTCAAGATCAATTTACATAAACACATGAAACACATGTATCGATGTGTATCCTTATGTATGCAGCTTAAACAAACCAATACCAAGCAACTGCATGCACGCACACACACACTTCGCTGGCTAATGAMGTATTTTTCATTAACTAAAAAATTTATACTCATTTCCTGCTGGAGCCACGACCGTTGCGGCGGCCATCCTAGCTGCCCAGCCAAGCCGCCATAATCCCGGACGACCCAGTTCATCAGACAAACATAAAACCGCTTTCAATGCGCATAAATCTCCACATTTCATTAACACCCCGAAAATGATGAGTTTTAGTTTAAAATTCGGTTAACAAACGAAACACAACAAAAACAAAATAAAGAAACCAGAAAATAATAATAAAAAAAGCAGAAAACAAATACCAAAAGCAGCACAAATTTATACCGTTTATACAATACAACAAATACGAGTGAGTTTAAACTTTTCTAGCAACAACACTAGCAACAATGCTAGCTGCCTGCGAGTAACGAACACGTGAGAAAATCCCAAAAAACTTGCCACAAATATTTCATGCCATCGTGTACTCTTGTTTTTGCTGCTACTTTGTTGTTGTTGTGTTTGTCGATTTTTTTCATTGGAGTTGATTATTTGGCTGGCTGATTCGCCATACTCAGGCCGAGTGTATTCGTTACTCGTTCATGTGTTTTATATATTTTTATATTCTCATCACAATTGATTGCTCGTAATGCGATTAGTGTTAAAAGGCATTAAAGCATCGAATTCATATGACAGACACACCACATACACATACACACACAGGCGCACAAGTATGAGGAGTTGAATGTGCGCCGACCCAGAGCGCGGCGAGGAGTCTGCGTCGTGTGGCAGTGTTGGGGCTGCCGCTGTTCCGCTTTCGGCGCTACCTGCGCCAATCGAAGACACAGCGGAGAAACCGTTGTTTGCCATTGATCCGCAACACCTAGTCGACCCAGTGCTGGGGAGCTCAAAACGTTGGCTTGAACCTTTTACAAATGTGTGTGTGTGTAAGTGTCTTTGATTAGAAAAAAACGAAAGCAAGGCAAAACGGAATACATAACTAGCCGAAATGCGAGGGAAATAAAAGATTTTCACTGTCATTCGATACTTTGATGCGGCAAGMAGCGTTYGATAATAGCTCAGAACACTCATGGTAGTTGTAAAAATGGTGTTGTGGCTTATGGAAAAGGAAAAGCATTCTGCCGCAATGTGCGCCGAATGTGCTTCTCTARACACGAAAACTKTAAATAACTTCACACAGCTATGAAAATGCATTGCTTTAAGGCTCTTCACAAATCTAGAATTTTCATACTTATTGAGAAACCAATAGATTTCGATATTCGAATTCCCGCGGACCTTAATCCGCCACAATTGTAGGCAACCAAGTGACTCATATATTGGACTCAAAACGCATTAATTTGCTTAAGTCCAGCCACACAATGGTGAGTTCAGAGGAGCTTGAAGACAAATCGCGCAACAAAGTATAGTCAAGCATTTGAAATATGCCTTTTTGCTGTGTTCAATGAATTATTAAAGATTACAGTAAAAAGAAAGAATGCCGTTGTGGATGTGCTTGGCGCCCCMTGCTGCGCTTTTGGCTCTTAGGAATGGCATTACTTCGATTTGAGTACTTCATTAGGGCTTTGTTTGTTTAAAGTGTTGATAGGTAAATTACTTACAAGCGAAAGGCAAGTAATTTGAAAAAAAAAGAATGTAAGATGATTATTATTATTATTAAGAAAAAAAAATATTTTGTAAG